AACCCTAAATCCATCTGAATCTTGAATCCTATAAACTCTACGCCAGGTGATATGTTCGGCTTAAGTTATGGGGAACCTGACTCAGGGGCCTTCTGGCCCCTGAATCCCAAAAGGGGTTTAGGGTTTACCATTTAAGATTTATAGGGTTTATCAGGATTTAGCATTTAGGGCTTGGACTCTGAATCCTGAAGGTGTTTTTCATTTCGGGGTTCTGAGGCCCTAAATTAACCTACGCCCTAAAAGACACTAACATATAGTCCCCCTTAGGTAGATAGAATATTGCTTTGGGCATATACTAAGATCCCCATATACCCCATATTCTATCTACTTAAGGGGGACTCTTAAGGGGACTCTAGCGCTGAAGCCGATGACCATTCAAAGCCTTAAGCCCCAGGTTGTGCAGTGTCTCCTTGCAGTGGGCGCAGACAAGAACTTGAAGAACCTCGGCCCGAGGTTTAGTGTTTTAGGGTTTAGGGGTTAGGAGGGTTTGGGATACCCCCTTAGCCTGTACTACCCCAACCCTAGCAAGTCAGGTTCAGGCTTTAGGATTTAGCCTATGCTACCCCTGCCCTACCACCCCCACCCACGCATTTTGGGATTAAAGGGGGTATGTAGGATTTGGCAAGTTTAGGGTTTAAGGCTTAGGGGTTAGGGGCTTGGGATTGATTAGGGCCTCATGGGTCTTCGGAACCACTTTGAACAGGGTTATAACCCTACATCTACTTGTAATTGGTGTAGCCTAACATAAGGCCACTTGGGGAGATTGGTATAGGGGTTGAGATTCCTCTGACATTCCTATGGCGACTGCTAGGGTGGGAGTGGTATAGCATGCGACAGTCGTATAGACTCATAAGATCCGAAAGCATCCCGTCAAGATGGCTGTTCATGGGGGGAGGAGGGTTCCATGTTGATGTGGGGAGGGTACGTGCTCTACTGTACTTGGCACGACGTGCAAGGACACGCATGTTCAAACTGCCCCTGCCGTCTGCGCATGAAGCCTTTCAACACTGAGACTTGGTACTTCTGATCAGCCTCGCAGCGTTTGCTACCAATCTGCTGCAGAACTGGGTTGCTGTTGAGGAACTTAGTTTAAGTGCCTTGAAGAAGGAAACCCCCTTATTTACTATACACCCATACTATAATGACTTTACTTAAGTTCCTCAACAGCAACCCAGAGAAGTCCTCCTGAGCATCCAACGCTGAGCCCTGAAGCCTCAACCGTAAACGCCGGAGCCCAAGACCTGTAAATCCTAAGCCCAACACCCAAAACTCAAAACCCCAAACCCCAAGCCCTGAACCAGAAGCGCCAAATGCTTCTTTCAAGAGCGTTGTCATATGATAGTTACTGGGTCCTCATGTTTGGGGTTGGGGTAACCAAAACCTCCTCATTGCCAATACCTCGTGCTCCCCCGATTCCCTAAGCAACCCACTCCACACTAACTCCGCAAGGTTTGCATTCAATTGGCCTCAATACATCTCAAACATGCAGAAATGTGCTTCGTTTAGGCAGAACCCAAAAGGGGGCAGCAAACCCATAACAGAACCCTAAACCCAGAACCCTA